AAAAAAAAGAAAGCGCAGAATTTGGGCCCTAAGAATGTAATTTTTGTTAACCATTTAATAGGCCTAAATTGCTGTTAAATTAAACAAGTTTCATGATTTTAATTAATTAGACATGTTTTTGTTAAAATTTAATATAATCATCCAGTAAAAGAAAACAAGAAAACAAAACTGAATCCAGAAAAATAAAATCGGAAAAAAAGATTTTGGAAAAAATAAAACTTTGGCTAATTTGGGAAAAATAAAACGGATTTCATAGGGCCCTACAAATATCATGCATCTGAGGCTATAATTTTAATACTAAGCAAAAGTGCATATTATATAGGGCCTATTTAAATTTTTTTAAATGGCACTCACTCGTTTTTCCTAGTTACCTGTGGTTGGCCTGGTCGTGCGTCACTCAGAAAACAACAGGCCAATCAGAAGAGAGGCTCATGAATATTAATTAGACAGGCCAAAATTGACCTGTTCTTTACAGAGCTTCTGAGAGAGGAGCTGAAAAAATATATTGAGTTGGTTTTTGGTCCTTATACCGCAAATATATATTCTTAAGGACATCAAGACATAAAATAAAACTCCAGAAATGTGTAAAATATGTGACCTTTAAAGCAGGTTATTAACTCGTATTCGTATTCGTATAGCCAGACTAGTCCTCACTGCAACCAATTCTGGCCAAGAACTTCCTGCTTTTTGAGTCATCAGAAGATAAGAACTGAGTGTATTCATGTTCCAGCTTAGTTTTTCTTTTTCAACAATTTGCTGAAATTGTTCTTACCCTTAGGCCATCCAAAATGTAGATGAGTTTCTTTCTTAATTGAAACTGTTTTGGAGAAATGTTGCACTATATCACTTGCTCACTAATGGATCTTCTGCATTGAATGGGTGCTGTCATTAGAGTCCAAACAGCTGATAAAAGCACAACTCCAGTCGATCATTTAACATCTTGTGAAGGGAAAAGCTGTGAGTTTGTAATAAACAAATTCATCATCATTAAGACATTTTAACTTCAAACTGGATAAAATATCCTCAATCCATAATATTGCTTTCTCCAGTTAAAAGGTCATCTGAATCCGGAGAGAAATGTGCACAGATCAAGCACTGTTTATAAGCCAAAGCAGTCCTAAACAAATACGGCGTTTTTGAAGTGAGAGGACAAAAAGAGGATTTATTTACTGCAGCAAACTTTATTTAAACCATATTAAAACACCATAATGATGCATTTGTTTCCCACAAACATGCAGATTTTCTTTTCACAAGACGTTAATTGATCGACTGGAGTTGCGAAGATTACTAGTGGATTATTATGATGCATTTATCAACTCTCATTCTGACGGCACTCATTGGTGAGTAAGTGAAGTATTGTTAAATTTCTCCATATCTGTTCCAATGAGGTAACAAACTCATCTACATTTTGGATGGCCTGAGGGTGATTGGTTTGGTCATGGCAGGGCTTCTTCAATTACTTTTAATTTCACAAATTGTCCCTCTTTGAGAGTCATAATCCCCTGGGTCCCATCTGGCCCTCAAAGCATAGATCTCTTATCTAAACAGAATTCGCCTTAGAAAATCTATCTTGTTGTCCAATATGGGTTGTGTGATAGAATCAGAAATGTCCATATCAGATTTTACTCATAAATAATTCTTTAGTGTCGCAGCAGTCATGCATATAGGAACCTTAAATGACATTGATATGTAGAGTATCTTTTAATGGCCTAGTGCAACCCTTGTGGCTTCCCTGGTAACTTCTTCTCGCTAAACCATATTCAGTGTTTAATTTATTTTTCATTCATTTTCATCAGGGACCAGTGCTCTCCATTATGCATTAAAAAGACAGATTGTGTGTAAAAGTACTTCTGATTCAATTAAGGCAAAGAATGTCATAACACATGCATTTATTTTAATGCAATACACTGGTGACACAAATTAGAAAATGTTCATATCCTGGCACTGTTCTTAACAGGTAATCTTATTTAACTGATTGACCGAATTTGTCGGGTGAAATCAGTTGAAATTGGCTCTACCCACAGTGCTGAGCTCTGTCTGCACAATGAGGTCGTCACGCATGCAGCGTTTTATTGATTTAGAGTCAGGCATTAGTACACTTACTGTGCCTGCAAAGCAGTACTTGCTGATCACAGGTCTGCTCTTTCCTGTGTTTTTGACTATGCTTTGTGAATTCAACATTGTTCTAAACCAAGTCAAGAGGACTCACAATGACATCATTGATATGAAAGAAAAAAAGGAGAGGAAGGAAGTGCATATAAGAGCATGGTTGACACCAAATAATAAGCTGTTTAACTAAAAATAATTTCTCATCTTTTAGGTATAATACACTGTAAAATGTGTGTGTGTGTATTTGGTTTAAATAATGTTATATTGTCCTTCAGTGTAACACAATATTTATGTAAAAATTCAAACAACATGCTTATTCTGACGTGTACATATTAAAATATATAAAAGAATAAGGGAGCATATTAAATTTTATTGTGTTTTAAATTAGTAAAAAAAACCTTACTGACCAATGGGCAAAACCTAGGATTGTGTCATTTTAAAAATGTAAAATTACAATTTATTAGTATTAGGGGTGAAAGTAATTAGTCTATTAATATGACATAAATTGATTTTTGTTACACTGAATGACATTTTAGTGGGTGTCTTCTGTAAATCAGGGAAAAACGAATGATATTTATTTTTTGCTTGGAAAAACAAAAACAAAATTGCAGTTAAATTAAAGCAGAAAACTATTATATATATATATAAAGGTTTTGAAAATTATTATTTGAGTATGTTTACAAGAAAATACTAATTCAGTCTTTCTACTTTAATTTTTTTTTTACATTTAATTCAATGTTACTCGCTGTTTCTATGTAATAATTTCCGAGTGAAAATTGATTCTCTACCAATTTTCCAATACACTACAATACAATTTAATTTTTTCGCATTCACAACCAATTTTGTTTCCATAAGATGCATTTTGGAGTGGAAAAATGTGGGATGCACAATATACGTCAACAGTTATTGGTCTGTATTAAAGATTTTTTTAATTTTTTATAAAGCGTATCGAACAATTTTGGATTTTTAATTGCGCCATTTATTTCCACTATTTAGATTACATTTGCTGACATCTCACTTCAAGTAATACTTTATAAGCAATAATGTAATACCACTGCTAAATGTAACCTGCAAATCAGCAAATACAAATTTCTATACTGTGCATAACATCGGGAGGCCTAAATTCACTTTTTATTTAATGTGATTTAAAGCAGTAGAAAGGATCAAGTCAGGAAGTCATTTATCTCTATATGGGAAGAAAATAAATATTATAACTTAGTGTAAATGTTTACAGTGAAGCCTGTTGCTTAAGGCACTTAAAGTGCCTACATCCAAGTGTATTATTAGCACAGCACAGATTATTCCAAATCACTTTTACTTATCCAGTCTTAATTTAAGATTTCAGTGCAGTGTTGTCGTGAGTCCTTTCCACCTCTTGCAGTCTAAACAGCTACTGTTCCATCAGTTACAGTTTACGATGATGTAACGAAAAACACAAGCAAAGTCTCATCCAGGTTTATTCCTGTGTGGTAAGGGAAGGAATGTAATGAGCTGAGATCTAAGTCTCTCACACAAACACACACGAAGAGAGCGAAAGAGGACGTAGAGGATGTAATTCCTGTCAAGACACATTTCTTTTTTAGTTGATCTTTTTCATTGGAATTAAATCAAATACACTAAAACAAACTAATTCAAGAAAAAGCATAATCAAAATACTTTGACAGATAATTGATGACGCAGTGATTACATACAGTATTGCTCACAATAATATTCAGTAGCCAGAGAGCTCCATACAGAATTATTAAATGGACCTCAAGAACCAATACAATTAAGTTATGCAAGCCATCAACTTCATAGTTATAGAAACAAAATCTTTATCTTGTCAGTTTTAAATGTAAACAAAAATGTCTTGACCCCCTTTTCTACTAACACGAGTTAGGCAGCAAGCTACACAGGTCTGCTCACAGTTCAGCAATACGCATTTGAATAGAAAATATAAAAACTCTTTCCATTTAAGTAAGATTAGAAAATGATAATATTATTATTTCTTATATACATAAAAGGCACTTTGACAATTTGAGTAGATTTATTCAAGTCTAAATCACTAAATCAAGGATATCAGCTGCACCATCTTCATCCAGCATGTTTAAAAGAGCATGTACCACCCACCCAGGCAATCCAATATGGCAATGCCACACAGAAAGTAAATAATTCCAACAGAAAGTGTAAATATTTGACCGATAAATGCTCAAATATGGAGCAGAAGCATATAGTTTCATGATTTCCCTTGAAAAGAACATATCATTATTAGAAGGCATTACTAAGCAGACCCTAGTCATAGATAATCAGATTGCACATTCTCAGTTATTGACATGAACCGTATTTGTTGATTTAATCATCGATATAGAGACATGGTCTTGCTCTGATAAAGGTACATGTAACCGTCGCAGAAGAGTCGCTTCGCCACACCTTCCATCTCTCGAGGCACTTGATTTGCCAGCTGAGCCAGAGGCATATGTAGGTACTGGCCAACCTCAGGACATGCCCGCACTTCTGGGATATTATAGCCATCAATTTCACCTGCAAACAGGTAAGTGTATGACCTACATGTGCAAACCCACCAAAAGTATTGAACCCGAATCAAGCACACATTCCACACACATTTACTTACCAACACGGTCAGCCATACTATCAAAGAAGATCCAGTCAGTATCCTGAGGTCCGTATTTGATGAAAGAGACATAGTGGCTGGTCTCTATACACAGTACAGCAAACAGCTCGAGTTTCTCCCGTGGAGGAGTGCGGCGATCAGACCCTGAACTCTGTGAGTAAGAGAAGCCCTGAGGAAGAAGCAGGCTGCCGGGTTTGTGGCATCGACGCTGCTGGTGAGAGTGCACCTACACAAACAAATCAGTTCCAAGGTTGTTTAACATATTATGTTGCATTAAAATTTAGGAAATATATAAAGTTAATAATTTATGATATATACAGCACATGGTTTACTTTACTGTACATAATCCCTTTTAATAATTAGTCTAATAATTTAATAATAATCAAGCCTATGAAAATACCCCTAATAAAAGACTGCATTTATGGATTATACATTTATATTTAAAGAATATTCCGATAAATGCAAAATGCATGTTTAACACCCTACCTGAGCGGAACATTTCACACAGAAATATTTGAATCCTGTATCACTAATCACTGTGTCTCTGAAGCACTCAGCACACTCCTCATTTGCTAGCTGCCCACACAACACACACTGCTGAGGACCTAATGAGCAAGTAAATATATAACACACACTTCAGATGATTTAATAGAACACACAGAAAGAGGGAAGCACATTACTAGGAAACACAGAAAGAGGGAAGCACATTACTAGGAAACCCCCCCAAGACATTAATAGTTGTATAGATGTTTAGTTACCATCCGCGAGAAGACCTGTGATGTCCAGTTCTGTAGAGGGAATTATTTTTGGAAACATTTTGAAACTCTTCCCTGAGCGAGGCATAGTAAGAATCAGACAGGCAGGCACCTGGAGACATAAAGAAAAATAAATACTCTGAGCAACAGCTAGATTGTGGATCCATTTCAATAAGATATTAGGAAAAACACATACAGGATATACAGTATATTCCATAGGTCTTCGCCCCTGCTCCTGGGTTTGGTTCAGCTCCAACCCTAATCACACACCTGACACAGTTGAACACACCTGAACCAGCTAATCAAGGTCTTCAGGATCACTTGAAAAGTCACAGGCCGGGTGTGTTGAAGCAGGTTGGAAATAAACTTTGCAAGACAGTGGGTCCCCAGAAGCAGGGTTGAAGACCTATGGTATATTCATTTGGGTCACACCAGAAATATTTAAGTAGAGAGAAACAGTACCATCTGCAGGTCAATCATGGAATGTCCAACCAAAATAATACAAACAAAAGGAAGAATGATACCTCTGCTAGTTTGAGACTGTTGCTGTAAAACGAATGTTCTAGTAGCTGTTGAACCGTCGGCAGGACTAAATGGTGGTTATAATCCATAAAGATTTGGTAGTAGTAACAGCTTTGCACTTTTTGTCTACTTCCTGATTGGCTGCTAAAGGCAGATAAAGAGAAGATAAAGTGATAAACATACTGTATATTAATGCATAAACTCCACAAAAAAAGAAATGAACTACAAGGCATTATGTTAAAATGCCAAGACATAATACAACAAAAAATACAACAGAATACGTTTCATGATGTTCAGTTTGGGTACAGGTTCTTGAATGTCAATCTTCCGCCTTGGCAAAGAGATCATCATGCTAGAAAATTTGGACAGTGTTTCCATCGTGTAGTTAATATACGTGTGTGTTAAAGGGATGGTTCACCCAAGTTGATTTTGAGTATCTTTCTTCTATTGAGCACAAAATAAGATATTTTGAAGAATGCTGGTAACTAAACAGTTGCCAGAAGCCACTGAAAAAAATACTATGAAAGTAAATGGCTACAGTAAACTATTTGGTTAGCAACATTCTTCAAAATATCTTCTTTTGTGTTCAACAGAAGTAAGAAATTCATACAGGTTTGAAATGACATGAGGGTGAGTAAATTATGACAGAATTTAAATTTTTGGGTGAACTATCCCTTTAAATGGTATAATAGTTTTATAATCCATTTTTTGGTACTTCCTCAAATTACTAAGAAATCATGAAGGAACTAGAATAGCTAAATTCCTTATAACTCATGTCCCTACTGACAAAAAAATAAATAAAATCAATGAAAAATTTCTCTACCAGAGTTTGAGTGGCGGATCTAGAGAGAGAATCTCTTGCATGATGAGAGTAAGGAACTCCTCGGGATCTGCACACATCAAGAAAAACACTATGCTTAGTGTAATTCTATAAAACAGCCCAGATATCTTTTATAGATACTGAGATATAAATAATTTGTGGAAACAGCTGTGTAATATTTTGGATCTGTATTTTGATGACTTGAAGAGTTGGACATTTTCCTTCAATATTCTGTTTAAAACTTGACATTGTTAGCAGAATATGGCTATGACATCAAGAAGATAGCGTACCCTTCTCATCTGTGGTGTAAGTGGGGCAGTGTTCCCGTTTCTGTAATTGTTTCCGAAGATTCATCACACTGCGCTCGGATACAAAACCTTGTCTGTAAATGAGAGAAAATTAGGTTATTCAAGCTCTCCCATATGCATATATGTACAATAAGGGTGACTGAAATTTCTGCTTATAATGACTTAAAATTATATCAATACAAAGCCAAATGCAGGCTACAAGCTCACTTGCGGAGAGGGTTGACAATGTTCTTTAGCAGAATACTTTGAATGGTTTCATGTTCGGTAGACTTAAAAAGCAGAGAATCCAGAACTGATGAACAGGAAAACACACTGGATAAAAAAAAATATATATATATTTTTTTATACACACACGCGTCATATTATTGAACGGTTGAGAAATTCTGCTCTAAATGAAACTACTCTCCAGACACAGTTGCAGTCGGTCTGTAAAGTTTCGAACAACCAGCCGTAGTTCCGCTCAAAACCACAATTATAGGACCGTCTGTTGAGAGCTGTGTTGTGATTGGATGGTGCCTGTACACGTAATAACAGGCGTCCGTCGTCGCGGTTTTATGACATCTGTGTTTCGGTGTGAAGATGGCTGAACGTGAAGCGCTAAAGAGAGAAATAGAGGAATTGCAAAGTAAGTGTGACTGTTTTATTTATATGGCGATCTTCTAGCTAAGCCTTTCCCAAAACCCTAATACCAAAGTTTGGTATTAGTCAGGTTTACCTTGTGAATGAAGTATTCAATATCACCGTGGCTGACCTAACCGTTATTCACTTAAGCTAAGATATTCACTCATTTTGAGATGTTTATATGTTTGTAATTTCTGACCTATCACATATTTATCAGATTTTTCCTCGTTGTTAGAACTAGTTCATTGCTGGTTGTTTTAGAGCAGGTTCAGAGATGAACAAGTCTCTGGGCGAAAGTGACAACAGAAATGCCCCACATTTTTATGTGTATATATTATTTTAAAGTATTTGTTTATGATTGCAGATACCTTGCATTTGATTGTATAGTTTTTACTATATTCTATTTATTCAGATTAATAATTATTTATTTCAATAACAATACTTAACTTATTTGAATGATATATTTCACTTCTTTAAAATTCTAAATATTTTATATTGAATTACAATATATATATATTCTGTTACAGCCCTTGCATTTACTGAAGTCCATTTTACTAATTTTTTAATAATTAGCTCAGTTCAGTTAAGTCTCAACTTAACCTTACACGCTTATTCTTTACTTTGCAGACCTCATTAAGGACTTTAAAAGAACTCATGGTGATGTTCCCTCCAGTTCCACCCAGTGGGGTCGTGCCAGACATGGTTCGAGGAGGGGCCGGGGCCAGAGTCGGGGTCATGCCTCACACTCATATTCATCACTGCCACAACCGTATGCGCCTCATTCTTCTGGCATCTGGAGGAAAACATACTCGCTTAACAACAAGACCAACAGGACAGTTGGGAAGCATGTGTTTCACCCAGCTGTGGACCACCTGAACCAGCCTCACCACCATTTCACTACATCTGGATCCACTGCTACTGTGAATAGTGCTGGAACTGTTGGAATCAACAGTGTGTTATTAAAAAAGTTACCTGCTGAACAAACCACAGAACAATCTACAACGTCTTCACTCGATGTCCAAAGTGAGACCTCAAAGGAGAGGAAAAGTGAAGTAAGTGGAAAGAGGACTATGCTTTTACCTTCAACAGGAAAAAACGATCATGGCTGCTCATCTACCCATGCACTGACTGACTCTGCTTCAACATCAGACCCTGAAATGAAGATAAAACCCACTTTGAAATCATCATCAGTTGTGAACAATCCCTCTATACCTTCACCTGTGAAACCTCCAGCTCTAGTTCAAGTCAAACCACACCTTTCCACTGCTGCCTTATCCAATAGGACTGTCGTAATGCCAACAGCCAATAGAGATTGTACTATGGCTTCTTCTGCCTCTAACCTTCAGCCTCAGGCTTGCTTGAGTCCCACAAAGCTCCAGCTTAAGCTAGACTCAACTCAGACATGTGTAGCCTCGCCATGTCATAAGGGATCTCAGTTTACTTGGGTGAAAAATCAAGAGATGGTAAACATAAAAAGCACACTTAAGCCAGTGACCTCTGGATGCTCTCCTGGGACAGCCACTGTCAAACGAGTTTCCAGCTGCAATAAGAGGGTGTCTCGCAAGCCTAATCTGTCCCTTGGAGCTCCTAAGACCTCAAAGTACACCTGGGTGTCTTCCTCTTGTTTCTTGTCAACAGCTTGGAAAGCAAACACTTCAACGAAAACGCCACACAAGCCCCTTTCACCCAAATCTCTTAAAGTCCCTGTAAGGACATCTCAAGGTGGACCAGAGGGACCAAAGAAAGAAAAGAGATGTGCCACAACTTTAACAACGTTATCAAAAAAGTCTAAAGCTACAGGTGCCTCCACATCCCATGCTGGCCATGCCAGCCGCTATCGCTGGAAGGCGGCTGGACAAAACACAACAGCAAATGCATCTAGCCAAACTTCTAGGACTACCCATAAGGGCACAGTCTATCGATGGACAGCTAACAAGAATGGTCAAAAAGGGGAAAAGGGATCTGCTCTGTTCTCAAACCCCACCCACATGAACTCTACTACCACCCCACTGTCAGCTGGTGCTTTTAAGCTCAGAAGCCGAACCAAGATCATTAGAAGATCTGCTAGCAAGTGAGAGTTTTGTTTTGTTAAGATTGTGATGTGTATATACATCACAAATGTATATATATATACTATTATGACAGGGGATGTGAGAAGTCAGAATCAATTTTAGGCATGCACTGATATTGAAATTTTTGCTGGCCCGATCATGCTATGGGCAAAATCTGATAAATTGTTCATATGAAAATGTTATACTATTTTGTATAAAATAATTGAAAATAAAACACTAAAAAAACTAAAATCAGTTAGACATCACAACATTGTAATTAACAATGTTATTTATCATTGTTATTATTATTAATTTATTTACTTGATAAACTTTAAATACTATATATATATGTAAGAACTTATTTCTGTTTTCTGTTTATATGTAACCATAATTTGTAGACGGATATCTTTGTCCACATGCAGGAGTAGTTATCTGTCCTGTTAAAAAGGACAGATAATGAATAACAGTGGTTCCATGACACGTTGAAATGCGTGATTTATTAGTGGAATTATTAAACACAAGAAAATTTCAAACGTTTGTATTGATGACAAATATCACATAATGTGACAATATTGACATTCTAAATTCTAAAATTGACAAAACACAATAATTAAAAAAAATAAATAATCAAAAACATGGAAATGTCCTGGAATGTCTTTCACCACAAACTGTAGAAGCCCTGTGTATTATATGGCCTATTTTAAGTGTAGAATGATTGCTAGTTGCAAATGTCACAGCTGGTGGCAATATTGTTCTTAAACTGTCCTTTAGATGGCAGCACATAGTTCTTTAAATTTCCTTTGCACTTCATTTGAACAAAATAAGCAAACCTTTACTTTTTATTGACTTCTGTAACACTACAAATCCTAATTTTTTTTTCATGTATGTTTATACGACGGCACGCACACACCAACCTGTTCATAATGTGTCCAGCAGGGAGCTTTGGGAGGACCACCCACCACCTGTTAACCACTATTGTGTGTGTGTGTGGATGTTCAGTATCTCAACATGTCTGTCCTCAGCTGTCTGTTGTCAGTTTCTCTCTGTCTGGTTGGTGTTGGTACAACTGCCAATAACTTTCACCATGTTCTCTCCAGCTCCATTTATTTTACTTTACCTAAAAGGTGTCATCCACAGTTCAAGATTTTACAAGCTTTTGCGAGAAGTAATGTAGAAAAATATAATTGTAAAGCCCATTGACTCATAAATTGCATTTAGTGTGATGTGAAAAAAGTGCTGTACTGGCTCTCAGGACACATCGGTTGTATTTACACAACCAGCTTAATTTATTTATTTTTTATGGTGCCTGGGAGGTGACATTTTCGGTTCACTTATTTTTGTCGTGGCCACGACATAATAACTCGTGTGTGTGTGTGAGAGAGAGAGAGAGAGTGTGTGTGTGTGCGCGCGCGAGAGAGAGAGTGTGTGTGTGTGTATGTGTGAGTGTGTGTGTGTGTGTGTGTGTTTGTGTGCGTGAGTGTGCGTGGGTGCGTGTGTGAGAGAGAGTGTGTGTGTGTATGTGTGTGTGTGCGCGTGAGTGAGTGTGTGCGCGTGGGTGCGTGTGTGTGTGAGTATGTGTGAGTGTGTGCGTGCGTGAGTGCGTGTGAGTGTGTGTGAGAGTGAGTGTCTGAGTGTGTGTGTGTGTGTGTGTCTGAGTGTGTGTGAGTGTGTGTGAGTGTGTGTGAGTGTGTGTGTTACCCCTGGTGTTCTCCTTCAGTAAGAGGCTCTTGGGGCAGCGGTTGTGAATCAGCATGCGTGGACACTGATCTTCACTCACAGTCAGATACGTGACGCCCAGATGCTCCTGACAGGTCAGAACCAGAGGCCTGAAACACACACACACACACACAGCTGAGTCACTTACTGACCACAGAAGCTGCCCAACCCTCCACCCACAGACACCCGGGTGCGTCATTATTAACACCAGACTCACAGAGAGAGAGTTCAGTTGAGCACACATGAACACAAGCACTTGATCTCACGAGTGGCTGTGTTTCTGAATGTGTCCGATCACACACACCTCAGTCTCAGTGCTACAGCATTCATTAGTAAACGGTTTCACTGACTGCTTCAATGTTATCGGTGTTTCTAATAGCAGCTACAGTGATGAAATGTCTTTATCTATTGCCTCTTTTACTTAGCAGGATTTATTCCACCATATCGTGTGTTGCAGTTTCTCACATTCATAGACTTGTGGTGAAATACAGTCTCTGTTGGTGGTCAGTGTAATTATGTCATTTTGCAGCAGAACTAACTTGACCAAACTAACCAGCTGCACCTCCAGAATGACACTGACATCTCTCTAGTGCCCTCTTGAGGACTGAGGTGTGTTAGCGGCACATAAGAACACGTGACTGAAGCGTTGCTGTGGTTCAGCTGTACCTGGTGTTGAAGGGCCAGTCGGTGTCCGGCTCCACCGGCACAGGAACGCTCTGTCTGGGGAAATCTGTCCTCACAAGGGCTGGAGGACTCCACTGCGCCTCTGCACTCTCCAAACTCAGCAGCAGCTGCTTCGACGACATCTGCATGTCCTCTGCTGTCTGACTGTCCCGCAGAACATCCCAACACGGCACCACACCGCACACCTGATCTCCAGCCGCACCCGCGGGACCCAGAGTGAAGCTGCACGACTCAGGGACGTGATGAGGCTAAAAGACAGACAGAGAGAGACAGCAATTGGAGGTCAATTCAAGTTTCTTTGGGGTGGATGTGAACATGTTTTCATGACATTCACCTCGATGTGTGTTGTATTGTGTTTCTGTGTGTGTTTGTGTGTGTGTGAGTGAGACTATTTGTGTGTGTGTGTGTGTGTGTGTGTGAGTGAGACCGTTTGTGTGTGAGTGAGACTGTTTGTGGGTTTGTGTGTGTGTGTGTGTGAGTGAGTGAGACTGTGTGTGTATGTGTGAGTGTGTGAGAGTGTGTGTGAGTGTGTTTGTGAGTGTTGTACCTGCTCAGGTGTGGTTGTGTGTTGTGACATCACAGCTCTACACTTGATAGTGTTTGTCGTGTTGTTCACCAGGACGGTTTTATCCTCAATCTGCAAAACCTGAATCCCATATTTCACTGAAGACGACACACAAAACTGACAGAGCTGAAAGAGAGACAGACTTCAGTCACTGATTCCAGATTAATCTCACCCATCCAGACACAGATCACCGTAATTATAACACACACGCACACCTTGAGTTTTCCTGGCTGAGTTCCGAGTGTGATGTCCGCGTGTATGTATCCCTCCTCATCCAGCAGCAGGACGTCTGCTCCGCCCCCCTCAGGCCACCGCGGCGACGACACCTCACGGACCAATCGCACGGCAGGAGACTTGTGCACCGTGTTAGTGTGCGGCCAATAGATGCCGATCTGGAACGCGTCCTGTGTGACACACACATACACACACACACACACACACACACACACACACACACACACACGTTCATTCGGGACAGACGTTACAGTGATCATGCTCTCACTCAGGTATATTGCTGTAATGCAGACAGACAGACAGATACCTTAAAGTTAGGCGGTACGATGGTTTTCCCGGCTGGTATCTGCACTATAATGCTCTCTGCCTCAAACATCCAGAGGTCCCAGTGTGAGCGGTTCACCAGAAGAGCCCACGGCAGCAGCTCCACCAGCAGCGTGTTCAGACCAGCGCGCCACGCACTCAGACGCACCTGCATTGGACTGTCCCACTGCGCCACCGACTCCACCGCACACCTGCACGCACACACACACACACACACACACACACACACACACACACACACACACACACACACACACACACACACACACACACACACACACACACACGTGTGCTGAGCAGCTGCGGATGTCAGTTTATCTCACCGCTCTGAAAGTGATTCCAGTGATACTGTTCTTCTTTGTTAATGTTACAGTTGTGGTGTGAACACTATTATTACAATTTTATGGATATAGTTATAGATTGAATGCACCAAATGACACGTGTGTGTGTGTGTGTCTGCGCACCTGTCTGACTGTCGGCTGCTGTAGGGCCACGCCGGACCGCTGGATGTCTTCTCTCCGTAGAAGTGCTCTAGCACATCCTGCAGGTTCTGGTTCTCTTCTGCTGCTGCTCTGCTCAGGATCTGTTTGATAACAGCAGTGGACACAGGAACTGCACAGTGAGACGCGTCCTCTTCCTCCCTGGAACACAAACACACAATCAGTGTGAACGAGAGCAGGTCTAGTGCATCATGGGTAATGGGTCAAAAGCAACAGCCAAGACACAAACAGGATGGAGGGAGAAGAGGAACTTTACAAGCTCCTGTCTGCGGTTCACTCAGACGAACACGAGAGAGAGTGTGTGTGGCTATGACTGTCTGTCTGAGCCTGACCACAGACAGACACACACACACACACACAGACACAGAAACACACACACACACAGACACATACCGCAGGGAGAGATTCCTGTGTGTCACTACAGGACGAGAGTTTGAGTGTGTGTGTGTGTGTGTGTGTGAGAGTGAGTGTCTGTGTGTGTGAGTGAGTGAGTGTGGGTCTGTGTGTGTGTGTACCTGGCCTGGAAGGTGAGGTGGTGTGTCAGATCTTCCTCCACGTTCAGCAGCGCCTCCTGGTGGCCGCGGCCGTGAATGAGCTGCGTGTCTCTGTGACCCAGACTCCTCTTCTCCACATGAACCAGAACCGGATCCGGCAGGTGACTCCACATCATGAAGAGAGGACTGAACACAACCTGAACGCACACACACATGCAGCATCAGTGCATGAGACGAACACGTGAGTGTGTGTGTGTGTGTGTACTCACCACTCTCCGCTGCACGTGTGTGTTTGGCTCCAGCAGGATTCGTGTGCACCAGACATGCAGCATTGATCCATTAGAACACGGCACCTGCACACACACACACAGACACGCTTGTTACGACACCCTGATGGTTCGGCCTGTAATCTGTCATTTCCTGAGCTTGAACACAGCGGCTGATGTTGCTCATTCAGTGAGTCTCTGGACAGGAAGTGCAGGGGTGGACACAGGAAGAACAAACTATCCATGGTCTCACAGCACAGTCCCATCAGACGTGATCAGCGGTGAAGAATCACGCCACACACTGTGCGTCTCAAGTATGTGTTTCAGATCAGACATCATGAGATGATCTTGTGTATTGATCTTGTAACACTGACAGGACGAGCTGCG